ATTCTCTTGTTATTTTGTTGTGTTTGGATCATTTTGTTTCCAGTTTTTTTATTTCTTTACTTTTGACTTTAAGACATTGTTTCACATCCGCGACACTTCGATTCATTGTGGTGATCATCTGTGTCAAGGAATATTAAAATCCAGCAATTTATCAATTCCATCAATAAATGCTGCAGACAAAATCTGGTCATTTCACTATCTCTCAAGACCTTGACCTTGCAAATATTGTCATAAATGTTTCTAGTTACATTTAGTCTAACATAGACTCACACTTGTTAAAATTTGTAATATCAACATAATTATTTAAATTCTTATTCTGTCCTTTGACTTCTATGTATGACTTCGACCTATGAACCTGATTAATTCTTGGTTAATTCTTTTTTTATGACATTACGTCTCGCTGTATCAAGTAAAAATAAATTCCATCCATGCATGAAGACGATTTGCTCTTACAAATATCAAATATTAAATTTTCTCATCTCTAGGGACCTTAAGCTTTCATACTATGACCTCTAGATTATGCTGACAAAACCGAACCTTGGGATTACGAATATTTGTTATATTACCCAACACATATTTTCAGGACACAAGTAAAAGTAGTACCTTAATCCTTTTAGGCATAAAAGGGATGTATTCTGGACAAAATTGAATGGTGCCTTGATGTCACCCGCCCATTCAACGTCCCGAGTGTTTGACAAAAAATGAATAAATATTGTCAAAATGGATAATCAAACTAAACAAATTACTTTTAAATGTACTTTATTTAGAACAAACAACATTAGTACATCACAGTTGCTCAGGTTGCTTTCAAACATTTGTATCAAAGAATACATAACAATATTATTTATAAACATGTGCAAATGCATTCATCTTTTTCTGCGGGTTGTTAATCAACTTAATCTTGAACTTTTAACAATTTGTAGAACCAAATGACGTTGTTTGATAATGCATGAAAAAAATAAACTTAGTATTACATACAGTAATTGTTGAATACAAGAATCTAACATTTTGTATAAAAAATCATATAATTTAAGAAAAACTGACTAAAATGTGAACATTTTTCACATTTCAATGAATAGAAAATGTAGCTACATGTATTCTTGAACAAAAATCTCAAAATTTTAAGAAATAATTATCAACCGTTGGGCAAAGTCTATTCAGCGCTTTTAAAGATCCTGTATGTTGTAATTCAGGTTGTAACCATGTATGTATGTAGTTAAAGCTTAATGAGGGTCCATCCGCCCTTTCGGGCACAAAATGCAGCTTGCGCTGTCGAGTACGGACCCTGGACATGTCACCATTCATGTCCTGAAAGAGTTAATTTTGAAGCACAAAATGGTGATTATTTACCTCCATGCAATTTCCACGGAGTATTAGCCAAAGATATGAATTTTGAGCCGAAAAGTAGGTCACTGTACGGCGGTCAATGAGAACCTAAATGTACAGTAACCTGTGACAATAGGAAAGGTGTTGAGCCCTGAAAACTTAAGTGAAATGTTATATATGTATATAATTATGCTTCTAAAATTTTTTTCAAAAATAAAAACATATGAAAAATATGTACTGCAAATTTTGTCCACATTATAAACAATGTATAATCATTAAAATAATTGCACTCCTTTCTTATTAAAAAATTTGACTAGACTTTATAAAAAATAAATTTCTAAATACCTCCCTTTATGTAATTTTTTAATGTAAATTCGGTAATATCTTTACAAATCATGCTTTTTGGAACATACAATATTGATACATCTTCATATTTGAGCATTAATAATTATGATATAAAACCATAAAAACATTGAGTAATAGGATCTTTTAACTGTATATGCTAGAAGATTTTTTTCTCAATTTTTTTTAAAGTTTCACAACAAGATTATGTTCACAAACATATACAAGTCAATAAATGGTTTATACAATAATACTGTTGTCAAAATATTCACAATGAAATCATTGACTAATGTGCACTTTTATAATGGTATAGCATAATAAATGTTCACAATAAATTCACAATTGATACGAAATTTGATAATGATTTTTTTATGAAGATTCACAGTGAAGTCACAGTCTTATAAATGTTCGCTATGATAATGACAATGTTTAAATTTTTATACACTGTAGGTGGTCACAATATGAATATATAGTGATATGAAAAAAACTAGCAATTTTGTTTTGAGAAAAGACCAACTTTACTTGTCCCGTAATAGGAAATACAGCTTCTTATACATAGTTTGTACATTCTTTTATTCCAGTAGACATATACTGTACAGTGTGAATTTCATAAAGTTTAATTTCTGTGATTTAAGTGTTTTATTAAAAGATGAGCATAGTATATATCACAATATCAGATCCACAGTATTACACAATTATCACAATATGTTTATTTGTTTACACGAGCAATTTCAAAAACATGCTTCTATACAAACAACTTTATGAAAACTAATGATACCACACTGAATTAAACAACATAAAAGATGGAACCAAACATGGTTACATCGTTTAAATTCAACTATAAATACCAAACAAATTGTGCCATGACCTAACCACAATTAATTTATATGCGTTTAAGTATAACTACTTTCAGCGCAAAAATACAAATAAAGAATAATATTAAACTGCTGTCTAATATATATATTCTTTGCTATTACTGATTTGCAAAATATATGTGACGGATTGTCCAAGCTTTGCAAGCTTTGAACCATTAAGAGATTTCCCTACCAAACGCAACAAACGAGCTGCAAGTAATATCTGATCAGAGAGCATGAACGTGTAAGTTGGCCTGGTTCCATACTGTTGGCCTGGTCTATCACTACTAAATAGGTGTACGTATTAACAATACAGCAAAAATGAAGTATCGTGCAAGATGTTTTCTAGATTAATATTAGAAAAGGAAAAGTTCATAAAATAACAGAAAATATATGAAAATGAAAAAGTTTCCGAGGAAAGCAACATGATGTTGCCGGATGTACATAACATGTTGTTAACTTATTTCGATATATATAGTTTTTAAGCATTTTCCAGAGAGTGTGATGATTGTTGCTGGTGCTCAAACGTGCTTATTTCGTCTATTCAGTAACAATATGCTGGTTAAGAACTCGTGTTTCTTCTTGTCCCTTTCCAACGTTTTTCTCTTATCACATGACTTATTGCGTCAATCAAATGTTGAGGTTAATGTCTCTATGTAACATATCCTATAAGACCACTTTGTGGCACTAATCATGACATTTAAAAAAGAGAAAAAATCTTTTTAGATCATTATTACATACATTCATATGACAAACAATAAAATATGGTTTTTAAAGGCACAATATACTTCAAGCACTTATAATTTATTTCTTAAGGAAATGAAAATATGAGTTTTATAACGTTTGAATAGTGCTTTCAGAGCATGCTAGATGCTTTTTAAGTGAGGAAAGTAGCTTTGTATGTGAAACTATTTGTCAACAGAATGTAAACAAAGAAGTATTTTGACTTCAATACAAAACATTACATTACTATAACTGTACTAAATGCCGACACAAAAGGAAAATGGTTCATGTATTTGTCTAATGAGCAATGTTATTTAAACTATGACAGGGGACACCAATATCAAAAAGCTTTTCAGAAATACAAAATTAAAGCCTTTCTTGGGGCATAATGAGCCTTTGATAAAGTGGACGGAATACAAATAAGCTGGCAAAAATGATTTGATCAATCACAATTGACCGATGCGATATATTTTATCATTATAGTCTCTGTCTTATATTATCATATCAAATAGTCCATATATATTTCATCAGGAAATCTATAAAAAAACATGGTTCGTTAGTGTTTGCTCGAGAAACAACAAACTTGCGTCTAAACCAATTGAAAATTTCAAAGCTATTTATAGATTATATAATACATAGTATCAATTTTGTCCACAAATAGATATCTTATTAAATTATATCAAAAGAAAATATTTCATGATAAAAACATTGATATGAAATATTGCACCGACATCAGATTCGTTGTTTATAACACATTTGTTTGCATGTTATGCAAATATACTTCTATTGAGCTTATATCACTAGAACATAATAACGTGAAATTCACAAATACGAGAAATATATACACCTGCTATCATAACATTAGAATATCATTATTCAATTAACATGTATTGATTTCGTTACTATTATAATAATTATTGCTGAGAATAGCATAAGCTACGAGGCGTGATACATATCCTATTATCTCTCATAAATAGACTCCATCATTAAAAGTCTTCGATTTTCAACTATTCGTTTTTTAATTGTATTGATCTCTTGGGAGATCTCTCCTTTCAAGATTTTGTTTTCTTTACAGCAGCAGATGTAAAGTATAAATAGATGCCTCGTGCTTTGTCTCATTGCTATACATAGTTGCAGCGCTCTTTATCTCTGTGCTATAAATAGATGTACCGTTCTTTATCTCAGTGCTATAAATAGATGCCTCGCTCTTTATCTCAGTGTTATATTGATGATTCCATTACATGTAGTGTTAGGGATTAAAATAAAGTTTAAACCGTTGCAATGAGAAGTAAGAGATGTTGCACTGTCCATTCTTTCCTCACGAAAAGCACAACGGTATAAGCGATTGTCAACTATTTGATCTCACCGAGTGCTTTCTCATTTTCGAAATTTGACAATGGATCTTAATCTGGAAAATTATTCTAAAAGTTACATTCTTCATTATATTGAATATCATATCATATGTCGAGATCAAAATACTGTAATTATAAGATGGAGCTGGAAGATTTTGAGAACGCCGCTTTGCATTGTTGATCTTTGTTTCCATATTTTTTAACAATTCCTCTCGTCCCGACATGTATGAATCTGTTGAAGGTTGGGATTGACAACGCATTCGTGTAGCATTTAATTTTCAGCATTTAATAACGGACTCTAAACCATTCACTTCTGGTAAATTTTCACGTACAGGTAGAATCTACTTAAAATTTTGCAAAGATAATACAGTATTTTCGATGTTATCAGTGTATTCAAATACACAGGAAAATGATATTCGAATGCTATATTTAAGTGAAATTGTGATCAATGTTTAAGCTTGCGACTCGAGATTGTCGGCGTTATTTGATGTTCCCGGAAGGTCGATATCTCTATATTCACTTTGAAGATCATCAACGCCAGATGGCGCTACTGAATTGCTCTTCATGACAGTGCGAGTAATCGTCATATCTTCTTGTGCAGGCTTCATACCTAGAAGCTTTCGCAAGCTTGCTCTGAAACGAACTGCTGAAGATGAAGCTACATACAGAAAGAAATTGATTGCGAAGTTCAATTGGTAGAACGCAAAGAAGAAAGCTCTTGTCCACTTAAGTCTAATTTTCGTACTCATGAAGTATATATAGTCTGGATCGCCAGGTGGAACTGTCATAGAACCGTTCCATACCAACTCGGTGCTTTGGACAATCCCAAGCGGCAAAACGAGCAGAACATATGTGCTGGATACAGCCAGCAACAGTCGGGTTGCTCTTTCATCAGACTTTGACATTGTTGTCATTGACATCTGCTCGCGTTTCGCGCGGTTTCTCTTGAGCTCCAACAAGATGTTCATGTTCAATGAAACAAGAAGGAATGTTGGTAGCCATGTATTAAGCGCAACATAGACGTAGATTATTTCTTTGAAGATTTTCCTCCTTGTTTTGCACGCCTTATAGCCAAATACAGAGTCACCTTCAAAACCAGAAACTGCGATTTTATGAAATGAAATGAGGGTCATAACAGCTGAGACTATGAACAAGGTAACAATAGTTTTCCTTGGGGACCATGTTCGGGCTTTCAGAGGAAACTTCACCATGAGGAAACGTTCAATTGTGAACGCTACAATAATCCAGACGGACAGGAGATTGAACAATTCAACAACAACTCCGTGGAAGGTGCATAATGCTTCACTTTCTTGAAAGGACTTATTTGCAGACTCGCTGTTTCCACGGATAACGCCGATCATAAAGTTGAATGTCAGAGACAGCGTATCGTAAATAGCCAGGAACGCAAGATATAGATTCGATGTGGTTTTTCTCATACTTTTCCGAGTAAGAACAATGAATGACAAAATATTCAGACAGACTCCCACTATCACAATTAAAGAAGTACCATATGACAACAAAAACCGTACGATATTAACGAGTGGACGGATTTCAACCCAAACCGTTCTAAGCTCACATGGCCAGGCCTTTGCATCTTCGTCGGTAACATTCTTCCCAACAAGATCTTCTATAACATCGTATGTATATGGACATGTAGACCCACTTACAAATACCGTTGACATCTGAAAATAAATACAACATAAAGTTAATTACATTTGAACAACTATTCAAATGTGGATTGGACAATTTGAATATCCAGTTCTTTTCTTTTTCTGTGAATTATTATATTCACTTATTTCAGAAAAATCTTCTATGCATCTCAAATAGATTTAAGAAATGTGAAATCAATTATCAACGAGCGCAGGTGGCACTTATTGAACGTTACCCTTTAGCATAAAATTCAGCAACGCAGGACAACCTACAAGTAGCCAAAGCAGGTAACCAACCAAATTATAAGAGTGCACTGTGGCAAAGCACAGGCGGGGCGCCATTATAAAACACTCAACATAGGATATCATAGCTCAACCAAAAATGACACCAAAGAAGGGAATGAATTACAAGGTCAACAAAAGGGTAAGGGCATATGGGAAGGAATCAGAGAGCTGGGAGAAGAGGCAGGGATCAAATTCTTATAAAAAAGGGAACATCGGATAGCGATTTTATCAATGCCTTTTGTGAACGTATTGTGAATATTCCATATAAATGTATGAAGTTTTCATCTTTACAGATAATGTTGTCACATTCGTCTAGACTTTGAATTGATCAATGCTCTATCTTATGTGTTTTTTTCTATTAATATATTTATCTGATGTAATTTCTTTTTCTTTTTTATTATAAATACGAAAGCAATTTAAAGAATTTTACAGGGATGTAGGAATAGGTCATCATTTCTATGAAAAATATACTTGTATATTGTTTTGGCTTAGAAAAACGGTCGGTAAGAAGTTCAGATAAAAAAGAAAATGTTGATGATTTTAAAGACAGGTTGCGAAAATTATTTTAAATATGTATACCAATATGGATATTTTGGGTTAAATAAGTTTTATTTGGTTGTCTTCAATTTTTTATTTGATTGTTTTTATTGTTTTTTTTAAACGCCGCATTCATTTACTCTTGATCATGCCCCATTTTATTTCCACTCATTTGTGTCTCTTGTTTATCACACCAAAAGCTTATTTTGGAGATCTTTTTCATTACAGGAAACTGTCGTATTTCTATAAAAAAAAAAAAAAAAAAAAAGCATCTTAAAAATTGGCGTATTTTATCTGGGATTATTATTAGTTACGAAATTACTTCTTTTCTTCGTTTTTTATAATCATAAAAAGGGAAAAATCGATTTTTTAACAAAGTCTAGGGGATTGATTTGTAGGCCAAGTTTGATAACCGTTTTGCATTCATTTTCAGAGCTGGAAGGGCGTCCAAAATGTTTGGCTCTGCCTGTGGTTTTAACTCATAGCCATCGGTTACAGACAAACATACACAATTAGTGACCCACGAATCATATTTTTTTGTGTATTTAATATTAACAGTTACTACAGCGTAGGCGGAATTCTGTCGGTGATGATCAGGCTTTGCACAGCTTGTAATTTCCTTCGCACGACTACTGACATAAATAGTCAGAAAATACATTCGTTTTCCTTAATTGGTTTTAGAAATATTTCTTCAAAACATTCAAAAATACGCTTTGACTTATTTGATTCTCCGTAATAAATACTCCTACGGAATGTATTTAGATATCAAAGAGGCGGTAGGAGTCATTTACAATCAGTTGCATGATTGAATTTTTAGTTGAAACATTGACCCCAGGAATGTTTAAATGACAAAAAATAACATAACAAGTTTTTCATTTACTTTCCTGAAAGTTAGAAATAACAAAGATTTTTTAACAGCTATTTATTTTGCTACGTTCCAAGATAAGTTCTTCATATGATAAGATGTACATAAAATATATATCATTTAGCTCTTAAGATATATATAGTATTACCAATCTGTTTGATAAACTCGGTTGAAATAGAAAATTATTTCGTGTGGTGTAAAATATAAGAATATTGTGCTTATTGTTTGTTGATGTGATTAAGCATTAAGCGGTGCGATTGCTTTGAATTAACAAATAAACCTTTTTAAGGACGTTTTTGTAGAAGAAAATCACGTAAATAAAATTTAAGAAAAACTAAAGGTTATTTTAAAGAACAATATGTAGAATACGGATCTCAGTTTACAGCGTGGCTATACCTCGATTCAGAGAATGCTGTAGTACATAAAATTTATACAGTCAAACTTGTATTTAGAGACTCTTAAATCAAACACCAAAATTTGTCCCTTAACAAATCTGTCAAAAAAAGATAAAGCTCGCCGTTTATTTCTTCATCTGTTTTAATGGAATATAGCCCGTGCTTAGCAGAAAAGTGTTCCGTTATGATCCTTTTGGGAAATGAACAATTTTGCGTAACATTTCGTGAAAACTGTCATAGATTGTGTGTGTATTAGCGACAACAAACAATAATATAATAATGATAATAATAATAAATATAAAAACGCTCCTATTTTCTGTTTTGTGAGTAGAAATAAAATACACACACAGAAAATATGCCATACATTTTCTCTACTTTTCTTTTTAAACCACCAGACGCTTATTTTTTGTAACGACATCTTTGTAATATAAAATCAGGTTTTTCCCATGTCTTAGTATTGCAGAAAAATTATTTTGTATAGAGATTAAGTATTTAAAAGCGTGTTTTTGAAACGTTTTTTTTTGCCATAAATAACAGGAAAAGTAGCGATATTTGAAAGATTGGCCTTCTCGTGCTGAAATGAAAATTAAGTAACATTTCAAATTAGGTTCCACGTGTAGTAATGTTTTAACAAAGACAGTCGTTCGTTTTTTTTTCTCGTTTTTTTTTTTCCTTTTTGATAACGCAAGAGAAGAGGTAGCATTATTGTAATAAATTAATGTTTCTTAAAGCGGCTTTCAGCCTTACTAAAGGTTAAATATGTTTTTTTTTCATATACTAATCAAATCAAGAGAGTTAAAGTGGGAAATCCTCGATACCTCTAATCTACCGGCCCACTCTCTATATGAATAAGTAAAGTAGACGATCCGTTTCCCGATCTATTTTCAGAAACGAAAGTCACTGATGCGTTAGTAATAGATCTCGACGTTTACTGAGTCTCTGAGTTACTTAGTTTGAAACAACGCAGACTTGTTTTTCCGACAAAAATAAAAGCTTAAGGCTGCTTTAAAATGTAAAAAATGTAATACTATAATTGCTCAGACATACGCAAACAGATGTGACATTATTATATTCACCAATGCATCAATTTGTTTTTTGAATAACTATAGAATAGTATCATTGTTTAAATAATGTGATTTATGTTGCCACAAAAAACTGATCCAACTCTTTTCTGCAGGAAAGCAGATGTGGTAATTGGAAAATGTTAATATTTCGATGACATGTTTTTATTAAGTAATCTTAATATAAAAATATCTTATTGTGTATATTCTTAAATGTCTCAGATGGCATAGTTAATTAAATACTAGCGTAGTTGTAAAAATAACTTATCTATTGTCTAGCATACTGAATACGAAGAATATATTTTTCTCTCTTTTTGACACTGATAGTCTTGAAGAGAAATTAATTAAAAAAAGGAAGCATTTCACCATTAAAATTCGTCATAATTGCAATTTTATCATATTACGGTATATCATGTTTTGGTATTGTTTTCACTGTACGCATTACTAGGACACATACCTGTAGTTAAATGGGTGGAAGATTGCGTTAAGTTTAAATGCGCATTATGTAATGCCTCAAAATCAAATAAGATTTTTCCCTTCCCTTAGAAAAGGCATACTGGAGTTTTGCAATGTTAATTAATTGTTTTAGAACATGTTACAATTGCTGAATATGAAATGAGCTGCGTCATGACAAAACCAACATAATGGGTTTGTGGCCAGCATGGATCCAGACTAGCCTGCGCATCCGCGCAGTCTGACCAGGATCCATGCTGTTCGCTATCAGTTTCTCTACTTGTAATAGGGTTTGTAAGCGAACAGCATGGATCCTGATCAGACTGCACGGATGCGCAGGCTGGTCTGGATCCATGCTGGTCGCAAACCCATTATGTTGGTTTTGTCATGACGCGGCTCAAATAAGTTGTGATAAGAGTACCAAAATGTAAGCAAAATAGCGTTTACTTCACTAATTGTTATGAAAGCAACATAAGCGAAAGAAGTTTCGAGTGACTGGCTAACGTTCGAAACAAAAAGGACACTAAAAAATAAAAGATTTTGCTAAAGGAAGATAAAGGCATTTCTGATGCATAATGGACCTTTAATACGCATTTGGATATCTGATATAGGATAAATAAAACACGAGTGTAAAAATTGATAAAGTAAAAGAGTAAAATAGATAACTCGACAATATCCTGTCACAAAGTTATATTTGAAACACTTTATGCGGATCCTTAATACATTGAATTATTCTGACTTAATTATCCTAATTTTATATGCATTTTGATAAATAGTTTTGAATATGTATATAGTGCATTATAAAATCACCGAAAGCCTTTACCTCAGATTATAACTGTCTTTCAAACTTATTCAAAATGTATACAATATTTTAAAATATGTTCAAATTACTTTCTTAATTGATGATTAATCTGGTTAATTAAGATACAAATTTAATGTATACAGTAAACTTGTTAACATTTTATATTTTGAAAAAAAGGATTATTAAGAGGGAATTCATGAAAATTATTTAAGTACAGATGAAAAGCATTTCTCTCGCAATTCAATAAAATATAAGCTGTATATCATTGTACAATCGTACATTTTAACAAATTGTACATTTCAAATATTATTAGGTACATTTATTTATTGTATATTCCTATCTATACTCTATTTATAATTACCAGCATTATATTAATGATATTTGTCTTAGAGTACAATTAAATTACCGTATATATTAGCTACGACCGAGGTGATTTTTGCATCTAAAACTACAAAATAAGACGGAACAACTTCAACTGCAGAAGTACCATAGCGATTTTTGGAGAGTGTATAGTTTATTTTATACACAATGCAACCTTATATTAATGTAAATGTTATTAAGATTTATTGTAACGAGATGCTCTTTATATCAAGAATTCCATCCATGATGTTTTATTTCTTCAAAACTACTGTGAT